TACATTGATACAATGAAATACTATTTGGGAATGAACTATTGATTTACGAAATTTGGATAAAAAGTAGTGCATTTTGCTGAGACAGTTTTAAAACAGCAAACCAGAATGATGTTGATCAGATTACTGGTTTCCAGGGATAAAAGTGTGGCGAGGGTATGACTATAAAGGGATGGCATTAGGGAGCTTTTGGGGTGAAAGAACTATGCAGTATCCTGATTGTGGTAGTAGTTACATGAATCTATTCACATATTAAAACCCAAACAGGTGAATTTACTGTATACTAATTTAAAACATAGAAATTTGAAAAGAAAATGGGGGTAAAAAAAAAGAGGAAGGACTATTATAAAAATATGGAAGACAATATAACCAAATGGAATTATGGACTTTATTTGAATCCTGGTTAGAAGAAATCAGACACAAGAGACATTTTTAATATAATCAAGGACAATTAATCTGAACTAGGAATTATATACTCAATTTAATTTCTTTATAAGGCATCCTGGTTGTGCAGCAGTTAAGTGCTGTTACTAACCAAAAAGTTGGCAGTTTGAATCCACCAGCTTCTTTGTAGGAGAAAAATATGGTAATTGGCTTCCATAAAGATTACAGCTTGGAAAGCCTACGAGGCAGTTCTACTACATCCTCTAGGGTTATTGTGGATTGGCATCAACTCAAAGGCAATGGGCTTTGCTTAAGAATGGCCTGTGGTTATGTGAAAATATTCTTCATCAGTTACACACTTATTCTAAAATATATAAGTGTGAGATAGCACGATGTCTGAGATTTGCTTTAAAAAATTGCATCAATAAAAGCAGGGGAGACAGATTGCCAAAACGTTGATAAATGTGGAAGCTGGAGGTTCATTATAGTACATGCTGTATTTTTAGTATGTTTGAAGTTTTCCATAATCTTTTCTTAAAAATGAAAAATGAGATTTTCAAAATTAGAGTAGAACTTCAACATTTATTTTAAACCAGTAGACATGATAAGTCTACAGTTGGTTTCAATCTTGATGTGAAATCTCTCTAATGCTCCAAATATAAACGCTGTGTATGCCAAAAATAATACTGACATATGAAAAAGTAATCTAGAAATCTTATGCTCTCAGCCATAAACTACTAAAATTACTAGATTTAGCAAAGATTTGCAGTTAAGAGTTTTCAATCACAAACCATGACAGTTTCTTTTGCATAGTGTCACTTCGAATTACACTGTCAAAGAAATAAAGGGCAAACATAATTTTAAAGCAATAATTCTGATGCTAAAAATCTCAAAAAGCAAAATTACTCAGGCTTTTAAACTTTCATTAATTATTTACACAGTGTCGCTGTCCTGCTGTGTTGGTCCTCTCTGTTCTTTTGAGCATTATTATTATTTATCACTTCTTGAGCACTCAGCTCTGCATGAGATACAGATGATATGTTGCCTCCCTAGGGGCCAACAATCAAAGCCACACAAGCAAAACACAAAGATTAGCTGGTTAAGAAATGAAAACCAAATGAAAGGTTAAAAAGAATACCCTAAATTCCCTTTTGATTTCAGCTTTAAGGCCATGATAAAACGCACGCGTCTTTTGGGGGTATAAAATAAAATTGAAGTTGGTTAAAAAAAAAAAAAAAGAAAGAAAGAAAAGAAAGAAAGAAAGAAAGAAAGAAAAGAATTGGCTTGGAAGAAATAGAAAACACCCCAGAAATCAATCCAAGAAAATATCCTACCGTAGAAACCCTTTCACTTTCTGATGTACGAAAATTTGTTGTTATTGTTGTTAAGTGCCATTGAGTCAGTTTCAACATATAGCAACCCTGTATAGGATTTCTAAGAAGCACTTTGTGGATTTGAACCACAGACCTTGCAGTTAGCAATGCAGTGCTTATACTACAGCGCAACACCACAACTCCGAACCTAATCCCGTTGTTGTTTGTTATTATTAAGTGCTCTTGAGTCAGTTCCCACTCATAGAAACCCTGTTTCTGAGGATCAGATGGTGAGTTCAGACTGCCAACCCTGAGGTTCAAATTGACCTCAAGACCGAGTGCATATCCTATGGCAGCACCACACCAGGACTCCAACCTAATTCTTGTTACCTGAAATTCAAGCTGGTTTATGAAGAGGTCATGGAACAAGGGATATCGTTACTGACATCAGATGGATCATAGCTGAAAGCACATAATACCAAAAGATGTTTCCTTGTGTTTTATTGACTATCCATTTCACTATGCTATATGGTATATGCTATATGGATCATAGCAATCTATGGATAAACTGTAAAGAATGGGAATTCCAGAATACTTAATTGTGCTCATGTGGGACTTGTATAAACAAGGGATACTGTATGGTTTAAAATCAGGAAAAGTTTGTGTCAAGATTGTTATCTCTACCATATTTATTCAATTTGTTTGTTGAGCAATATAATTTGAGAAACTAGAAGACGAAACTGCATCAGGATTGGAGGAAAACTCATTAGAAATTTGTGATATGTACATGACACAGCCTTGTTTTCTGAAAATGAAGAAAGAAATCTTTGTACACTTACAGATGAAGATCTAAGACTACAGCCTTCAGTATAGATTATACCTCAATGCAAAGAAAGCAAAAATCTTCATAAATGGACCAGTAAACATCATGGTAAATGGAGAAAACACTGTAGTTGTAAAGAATTTCATTTTATTTGAATCCACAATCAACACTCATAGAAGAAACAGTCAGCAGAGCCCCAGGGGTTCCAAGGCCAGTAAAGTAGAAATACATTCAGCTTCAACCAGAGCTAGCTCAGCACTCATTATGTTACTCTGGGAGTTTCTACAAAAGCTTAAAAATGGACAATGAATAAAAGAAGAATTGATGGATTTGTGTTATGGTGTTGGAGGAAAATATTAAAAGTACCATGAACTCCCCAAAGAACAACTCTGTGTTGGAAGAAGTGCAGTCAGAATGTTCCTTAGAAGCAAAGATGGCCCGACTTTGTCTCTCATACTTTGGACATGTTATCAGGAGACAGCAGTCCCTAGAGAAGGGCATTGTGTTTGGTAAAGAGGAGGGTCAGTAAAAAAGAGAAAGACCCTCAGCAAGATGGATTGGCACAGTGGCAGCAGCAATGGGCTCAAGTGTAGCAATGATTGTGAGGTTGGTTCAGGACTGAGCAGCATTTCGTTTTGTGTGTAAGGTTGCTATGAGTTGGTACAGACGCAACGACACCTAACAATAACCTAACAACTTGTTTAAAAAGGGCCAGGGGTGGGGTGGAGATCAGGGATCACTGCTGGATTACCAATAAACAAAAGTACAGGATTACTTTTGTTTATTTATTAATCTGTAGTGAACAGTTTCATATTTTTCACCATAGATTCTGCTTCTAGGCATGGCTGGCATCTATCTTTTTTCCAACCCCACAACACCTTCCTGGATAATCAAAACCTCTTTTCAAATTTACAATCCTTGAGCATAGCAGGTTGTTGTTACGTGCCATTGAGTCATCTCCAACTCATAGGAACCCTGTATAAGGTTTCTGAAGAGTGGCTGGTGGATTTGAACTGCTCACTTTGCAGTTCAAATCTACCTTGTGGTCCAGTGCTTATCCTACAGCGCCACACCAGGACTCTGAGCATAGCAAGTAAACCTGTATAAAATACATGTAAAACTTCTTTACAGATAAGTAAATAAGCACAAGTAAACTCATGCTAAGGAGCCCTGATGGCGCAGTGTGTTAAACATTGGGCTTCTAACTGCAAGGTTGGCAGGTCAAGTCCACTGGTGAGCAGTTGCTCCTTGGGAGAAAGAAGAGGAGCTGTCTGTTCCCATAAAGATTTATGGTTTTGGAAACCCGAAGGGGCAGTTCTACTCTGTTTTATATTGGGCGTCTAAGTCGCAATCAAAGGAGCTCTGGTAGCACAGTGGTTATGAGTCAGGCTGCTAACCTTAAGGTCAGCAGTTCGAAACTACCAGTGGTTCCATGGGAGAAAGATGAGGCTTTCTGCTCCCATAAAGATTTACAGCCTTGGAAACCATAGGGTCGCTATGAGTCGGAACCGACTCCACGGCACACCACCAAGTCGGAATCAACTCTACAGTTTAGGTTGCCTATGTTTTATCACATACTGCATGAGGTGCTGTTGTCATTAAGTGCCACTGAGTCAGTTCTGACTCATAGTTTCTGAGGAGTGGCTGGAGAGTTTGAACTGCTGATCTCGCTGGACTGCACTTGTGGTCCAATGCTTGTCCTACAGTGTCACAACAGACATGAGATTTGTTGTTGTTAAATATCATTGAGTCAGTTATGACTCATAGCGATCCAGTATAGGTTTCCAAGGAGCAGCTGGTGGGTTTGAACCACCGACCTGTGGTTATCAGTCCAATGCTGATTCTAGTGCACTATACCAGGACTCCAGACATGAGGTGAAAACCACTGTTCTGGGAAGTCTGGAGCAAAAGATAGATGAAATTACTTAACATTCTAAAATACATTTCTTTTTCCCTTTTAAAAGCTTACGTACTATAAATATTATAAATATTTTTATAACAATGTAAAATGATTTCTGCCTCAGTTTTGAAAGATTTGAGCAATATGCTTTTTAGAATGTTAGGGATAATTTTAGGGGACTATATTTGTAACAGGACTTTCAGTGGGGCACTGTAGGATCAGCACTGGACTGCACACTACAGGGTCAGCAGTTCAAACCCACCAGTTGCTCCTCAGAAACTCTATATGGGGTCACTATGAGTCAGAACCGACTCAACCGCACTTAACAACAATAATATATGTAAAGGAGTCCTGGCGTGGCACTGTAGTATAAGCACTAGACTGTTAACTATAGGTCTAGGGTTCTTCAACTGTTCCTTGGGAACCCTATGCAAGGTAACCATGAGGTGGCACAGACTCCACAGCACTTAATAATAACATATTTGTTAAAAATATTTTGCCTTTAGCTATATAAAAGACTAAAAGTTAAATTCATATTAGAAAATTTTAGAATCTTCGAATTCAAAGATTCTCCTATCCTGTGTTAATCTTTTGTATTTACATTTATTTATTTCTCTCTCTTGAGAGCAGACAGATTGTTAAGTGTTTCTACCCTTTCCAGGGTGTATTTAATCGTGAATAGATTTAAAAACAGATTATCAGTAATAGGATTCCAGGATGTGGGCAGATGTCTACTTGTCATGGACGATCTCTCTTGCAATCAGCTCCTTCATTATTTCATTGGTACCACCATAGATTGGCTGAACTCGGGCATCCACATAAGCTCTAGATAAATCAGAAGATGATTGAATGAATAAACAAAATATTAGAAAGTGTAAAATTTGTCTTACTAGGTACCTATTAAACTCTTGATACATTTAATAAATAAAATCTAAGCAATTAAATTCTAGCATAAATTAATTTTTCCAGTGGCATTAATCCCAGATTGGTATAACTGTTTAAAACTACAATAACAAAAATCCCTTTTAAAATCTTGATAATTAGTATAGCTTTTAGTTTGCTTGAGGATATAACAAATTCAAGAAACATTTATAAATATGTTTAATCTGATTTAATTTTATAAAAATGAAATCATACAACAGCATTCTAAAAAAAAAATTCCTTTTAGAATATCTTCATTTTGTGTTATCCTTCCTGTTTCCAAAACACCCTGATAGTCACTTGTTTAGTAAAAAAGAAATTACATATTTTCTCGCATTCCTTTAGATCCAACCAGCACTTTTACCCACAAGAGTATAAAGTGAAAGTTTAGAAAATATTACTTTTCATAAAGTTAACAAGTTACTTGATTTTTTGGAAATGGTTCATAGTTGCACCAGTAATGTAAGGGGTTAAGATACTGAGTGGCTGAGCCCACTGTCAGATAAAGACACACACACACACACACACACACAAGCACAATGCAATCATAAGCTCATTTTTCACAGAGATGACTAAGCCACTGTGCAGTTGTTTTTACTTTTTCTCATCTCATTTAATCCTCTCTTTTCTGAGATCTGAGAGAATAAATATTATCCTTTCGCAGGTAAAAGAACTGAAGTGCAGAGAGGTTAACACGTTTACTAATTAATAGTTGCTATTTCATGGCCACCTAACAGATCATTGGCTGACTGGAACAAGAATGTGGGCATTCTGCCTCTTTGGCAACTATCTTTTTTTTATTAGATCACAATCCTTTCTTGGGTTCCAGGATTAAGAACTAGTTATTATTGATCTTTGAACTTTCCTAGTAGATGAACATCTAGGCTTTTTTTCCCCCTCTATCCAAAGCATAAAGTCTGTTTGCTGGATATCTAATGTAATTTTTAAGACCGATTACATTTTCCACCTGTTTAGGAACCTGACCAGTTTTGAATTTATCTGTCTTCATTTTCATCATGGTACCTCACAAACAGTAAGAATTCAGTAAAGATTTACTGCATTACCAAGCAATTAAAAAAAATCTCAGTTCCTACCTTCTGAAGAAACTTCTAAAATCTTGAGATGTTTGTATTTTCAAACATCCCCATAAGCCTTATTAACTAATTCTGTTCTTCCCCACAAAAAGTTATGCTCTCATTTTGAGGACCTGCCTGGCATTTCAGCCTTCTTCAGCCATCCAGTGTGTTTACACATTTTTAGACTGGGTTGGGCTTTCTTCTTTTCATAAAGAAGTTCCCACCAAGAATGTGGTGACAGAGATCTGTAGACCTTTTATAAGTTACTAATTAAATTCAGTCATCAACTAAAATTAACAGAGAAAGCAGCAGAAGGAATGTCGAACCACACACCGTGGTGCCGCGTTACATCTCAATCTACTCTTCCCAGCACAGTAGCGTCCCAGAAATGGCAAAGCCATAAAACACAAAAACACCTTTTCTCTGTGAAACCAAGAATCAGAAGCACATATATTAACTAACATAGCTTAATCTGGAGAATTGAAGGAACACATTTTTTTTTCTTTATCAAATCAAAGTCTGTCCAAAACACTCACATGATGCCTATGTATCTAATGACCTTTTTGAAATTAGATTCTATTCTTTCTTTTCATCTTTAAAAAGTCTCTTCCCTGTCTATTTGGAGAGAGAAATGACAGTCTAGTCTTAAAGGTTCATACAATTTTTGAGCTAACAAACTGTCCAAGGGTGATTATTATGCCTTAGAAGACATACAGGTATAAATATCTTCAACTGAAATGGGATTTCAAATAGGCGATCAAGGGGTCCTGGTGTGGCGCTGTGGGTTAATGTGCTGGACTGTAAAGTTGGTTTGAACTGTAAGGTTTGAGGTTCAAGCTCACCAGCCACTCCTTGGAACCCCTATATAGGGTCACAATGGATGGAAACTGACTCGATGGCTCTTAACAACAACCACAATATCAAGTAACAATGTTTGCTTGCTACTGACCTCTGAAAAACACAGAGAATAAATTTATGCCACACTCTACTCTGGGGCCATCAAATTGGCCCTTTTTTAGGATAAGAACTAAACTAGACCAACATTGAGCCACTGCATTACTATACTCCCACCACAGTTCCAACAGCATAATTAAGTAGAAAAATATAAACATCCGATCATTATTTTACTTTCTTAGCATTGTGTACACTGTGAATAGGATCGATGAATATTGTGAATCAGTCATGAAAATGCACAGGAAAAATTTGATTAATGGTTAAATTTGTGCTAGCTCAGAAAGTGTACTGGGTTACATATTAGACTGCTAACTGCAAGGTCAGCAGTTCAAATCCATCAGCTGCTCTTCGGGAGAAAGATGAGGCTTTCTGCTTTTGTGAAGATTTACAGTCTCAGAAACCCTACACAGGAACGCTGTGAGTTGGAACCAACTCGACAATTCACAGCAACGCAGAAGAAGCATAACTCAATGTTTGCTTCTGATTTCACTACTATTTTGAAAAATCTGCTTTTGATTAAGTCTCCTTTGAAGTATTTCTGCAAGGATATAAGAAAATCCAAGTCCAAGAATCGATAAAAGAAGAAATCACTTAGCTACTTCATGCCTATATTCCCAAGGTGGGGGACAATATGGTTGTTGCAGAGTTTTATGAAAGATTATAAATTCTATATACCCATTAGTTTAGCTTTCTGAGCTGCTCAATTGCTAGAGAAAATTAGTAGATTATATCTGTGCTGAGCTTCTGTTCTGGACTTGTTATAATTTCCATTATTATGTTTATTCTCCTCACTGAGGACTAAAAGCACATCAAAATGGTTTCAATTATGCTTGCCAAAATGATAAATTTGAAGCCTTAGGCTGCCAGTTTGAATATCAGCTTGATATTTTTTTCTCCAGATATTTTACATTTAGATAAACATTGGAAAAAGTTTTTAGAAGCCCATACCATTCTCATTCTCAGATTCAGAACTACATGAGACTTTTCTATACATAGCAAAAGCTTCTTTGTGAAATTTTTATAAATGGAAAATATTGCTAAATCAGAGAAAAATATTTTCTCTGTGATGAGGAGAAATGCCATGGGGAGATAACAGACCAAAGACTATGGAAAGATGGAAAGAGGCAATTAGGGAGCTGGAGGGAGGAACTACTCAAGCGAACTCAGATTATTAACAAGTTAGCACTGCTCTGAATTTGTGTAGTTGTTAGGTGCCATCGAGTCAGTACTGACCCATAGTGACCTTATGCACAGCAGAACGAAACACTGCTCAATCCTGGGCCAACCTCACTACTGTTGCCATGCTTGAGTCCATAGATGCTGCCACTTGGCCAATCCATGTCATTGGGGGTCTTCCTTTTTTTCTCTGACCCTCCACCTTACCAAACATGCTAGTAGCAAAAATATTTAGACTCAACATACATACACAAAATCATTTCTTTTAATTTGATGGAAATAAAAATTCCATTTTGAAAAGAAATCACTGCTGTTGTTGTTAAGTGCCGTCGAGTAGGTTCTAACCCATAACGACCCTGTATAGGATTTTTAAAGAGTGGCTGGTGAGCTTCAACTGCTGACTCTGCACTTCAAACCAACTTTGCAGTCCAGCACATTAACAGCGCCACACTAGGACTCCAGAAAATAAATACTTTGGTTTTACTTTTTTAAGAGCAAAATAATCCAATATTTAAATGATGGTAATTTAGACCTTTTTCATATGCAGATTAATTTTTCTGTAGTGCTATTTTTTTTTTTAACTTAAAAAAAGGTGATATACTTCTATATTAGGATTCAAATAAGGTAAACATCACGTTTAGTATACTAGCCTCTTCACTTTCCTTAAAAAATATTTTATTAAAATCCAAGTTGTTGTTGTTAAGTGCCATCAAGTCGATTTTGACTCATACCGACCCTGTGTAGGGTTTACAAGGAGCAGCTGGTGAGTTCGAACCGCTGACCTTGTGGTCCAAACCGACCTTGCGGTCCAGTGCTTTATCCTACAGTGCGTCACAGTAAGCCGGTCAGACTAAGATGTTTCCATTTATTTGAACAGTCTGTACTCACAGACATTTGAAAAATACAAAGATTTCCCACCTCCTTTCCCTCCATCCTTAATTTACAAACAACAGTAAGCAATGCTCCTTTCTCTTCACACCACCAAAGAATGGAACGTAACAGCCATACTCACTTTGCTATGGGGAACTCCCACATGTACCCCCAACCTCCGTGGAGCTGTACACAGTCATAAGCTACACTGTTTTGTAACTCAGATGCCCTAGATGACCAAAATAAAAAGCAGAAAAGGAATATTTGAGATGGATTTCATGAGATGCTTCACAATCAGGAAATACATTATTTATGATTGCGTAAATGTCCACATTTACCAAGCAATCAAAACAACTATTAAATAACCAGAGAAGATAATATAAACTATATTTGAAATACATTTCAGAACCGTCACGTAAAGACATTTCATAAATTATATTTCTGGCTAGGCTTTTGTTAAAGCTATAAACAAAAGTTGACAACTTGGATTACTGTGTCTTTGCCTAGTCTAGGCTTGAAAAAGATGTAAAGACTACGTAAGTAGTGGCTTAATTTATTTAGGTTATCAATAGGATCCAAATTAAGTGTATGTTACTGTTGTTAAGTGCCGTCGAGATAGTTCTGACCCATAGCGACACTGTACAGGGTTTCCGAGGCTGTAAATCTTTACGGGAGCAGAAAGCCTCATATTTCTCTCGTGGAACAGCTGGTAGTTTCAAACTGCTGACCTTGTGGTTCGCAGCCCAATTCTTAACCACTACGCTACTAGAGCTCCTTTTAATTAAGTGTATAATTACTCATAATTGACTCGTAATTTCCTTTTACCTTTATATCTTGTTTCCTCCAAAGATGTCATTCCTTACCCTGAAGTAACATTTCTAAATTTCATTATTTATGAAAAAAAGTAATTTAAAAGCTTTTTGAGGGGACTCTTCAGAAATAAACTGAAAGTAAATATGAAAACTGCAAGAAGTAGATTATTAAAATATATGCCATCAAATAGGAAGAAATATTAAAAAATAATTTGGGGCTTATCGTTCCTAAAGTACTTTGATATCAGTCTGAGTCACTTGAGAAAAAAACATTAATTTCTGATATTATCACAACAACTGTAACTACTGTTAGAATCGATACATACCCCATAGGTATCTGATTCATTTTCAGATTAAAAAAATATTAAATTCTATTCTACTTATTTTTTAATGAAGGGAAAAATAAAGCAAAGATAAACAGAGGCAAATTTTCCCATTTAAAATTGCGTAGCATGGATGAGGATGCGCTTAAGAAATATAGTAGTAATTGAATGAATAAGAGACAAAACTGGTGGCTGTGTTTGGAATTCTATAAATGTTTGTATTTGGCTAGTATTTTAGTGAAAAGTTACTAGGCTTTAACTAGCTGTTTCCTCTGTTTTAATATGAATTCCTAGTCTATATATAAACCTGGTGTTTCCAAAGAACAGTAAGATCAATTTTATCAAACATATTTTTTTCTAAAAATATTCTATTTTAAAAATATTTATTTGTTCTTTTTCCCACTAGTCAAAGAACTTCCTGTAAAAATAAATGTGAAATATCTTCCTCAAAAATACTCATATATGTTCCTAATATTTTCACATCACTTTTCAACCTGAAAATTTTATTATTTTAGAATCATTATATAAAGCACTGTTTGATGTACTTCCTTAATTCTATTTCTAACTGAAATGAACACAGGTTAATGATTAATGACAGCAATTTTTTTTCCTAGGGTACTTTTGAGCTAGTGAGATGTGAGAATGTCTTCTGTTTTGTTTTTTCTTAAAGAGGAAACCAAGCTCATGTTTAAAATCTGATTTGAACTGTATACTCTGGTATCTTAAAATATATACAACTGTTACTCAGTTTTAATTAAACTGAAAGTCTTTATAAATGTACTAGGATATTTTCCCCCTTTCATTAATACAGTATATGCAACTTTTGGTTAGATAGTCAAATCTTCATAGAATTTTTCTTAATCTGGAAAATACTTTAAAAAACACTCATTTCATAGATAACAAAAAGTTGGTTCAGAGAGAATTAAAGGAACTATTTCCCAGATTATAGTCGTTTAATGAAATAATTGGGACTTTACCTCAGACTCATTAAGTCTTACAGTTTTTCTGTCCTCTCACTACATCACTGCTCCTTTTCAGATAACTTGAAATTAGCTGTTACTTAAATGAGCATCCTACTTAATCAGTCATCCTACTTCAAACACTTAATGCTTTATTTTTAGTAACAAGAGTTAAATGCCAACTTCAGTGATTTTTAACGTATTATAAATAACCTTAATGACACCTTTCAGCATTTAAAAAATAAAATGTTCTTTCTGCTATTTTCTATTTATGTAACCTTCTCGCTTTAAGACCCTCAAGGCTGAATTAAAGTTGGCACAATTCCCTAAGAGTCTGAGCAAACATCACGTTTTAATTACTGCAGCACACATACCAATATTTCGCCATGGAAGCACTGGCAGAGTCCAGACGTTTCGCTTCATGCAACTGGAGACAGCTGTCCACAAAAGCCCGGGTTATACAAATGTGCGTTTTTAGTTCTGCTAGCTTATGCTGCACTGTCTTGAGTTTAAAGGAAAGGAAAGAAAAAAATATAAGCATGGTTGTTGTTGTTAAGTGCCGTCGAGTCAGTTC